AAAAAAAAAACGACATGAATAAACATGAATCTGAAAATACAAAAAACAAAATTCACGATCGATAGCTAAAATGGCGAAATTCCCGATCAATTATAAAAAAGAAAAACGAAATCTGAAATTACAAAAAAAAACGCCATCTAAAATAAAAAAAAAATACCAACAAATTCGTTTTTGTACCTTCAGCTTTCAATATTCATCAGAGAACGAAAGCTTAAATTCTTTTTTAAAAAAAAAAAAACTATAATCTTGTAATCCATCACCAAACAACGAAGTTATCTATATGAATATGAATATACCTTCAGATGTCTTTCAATCCACGGCTATTTCACGATCAATTTTCACGAACAACCTCGTTTGGTTTTTTTTTTCACTCTGCTTTTTTCTTGCACGCACGAATCCGTTGATATGATAATCCCGTTTTTTAAATTTGAATTCGTGATTTCCTGAAGTATAGGTAATCACGATCGCCATCTCTTTCAATCGTTTACCGTTTTCTCTTCTCTGCGTGATTTTCTCGCCTTTCAATATATGGAGAGAGAAAACATTATATGGAGAGAGAACCAGATTTCACAATCTCGTATAAATGAAAAAGAAATCAATAATTATTCCTCTTTTGATTATGTTTCCTACAAATTGTATTTATGTAAATATACCTAGACTAGGGGTTATGTATGTATTTTTCCCTTTTTATTATGTATTGGGTTGGACTGGACCTATTTACATAAATGAAGGAGTTAATGACTAAATATGGACTTAATCCATAACACAAATAAAGGAGCTAATTAATGAAGGAGGTAATAGTAAAATATGTATTTTATGAGAGAATTTGAGGTCATAAATTGTATTCTTATGATGTTCAGTCAAAGCAAGTTGCGTGAGAATAAATATTATTTGCAGTGATATGATTTTTATTTTCTTCTCCTTGGTGTCATCGTGACTGCTTGAATGTAATTTATTAAAGATCTTTGTAACCCAGAGGTAATTTATCAGTTCAAAACTTCAAATGGCTAGAAAAACAAGAAAATTTGTTTTATTTTTCAATTATTTATTTAATAGTGTTGTTTAATTAGGTTTTTTTCTTCTATGATTCTATCTGCAAATAACCCTAATTACCAGACAAGTTCAAATCGAAAAATTTGAAAAGGAAAAATTTGTCTGGGGCCTTCAAATTTCTAGAAACGACCCTGTACACTATACATACCAGTTTTCTTAGATTTGTTACAACCATGGTTTTCAAAACCGAACCGTTCATAGAACCGGTGAAGCTACCGGTTCAATGGTGCACTGGTCGTACCAGTGATCGAATCAGTCGAACCGGTTTAATGAATATACAATTTTTTTGTTTATTTTGTATGTATAACATATAATTATATATATTTATCATTAATTTTATAGTATATGACATTTCTCTAAGTAAGAGTTCAATAATAGATACAACTGATAACGTTGAATAATGTTGATAAATATAGCCCAATAAATAGTCCAATACAAAAAATACTACATTTTTCTTTTAATGGGTACAATTTGATAGCCCAATATTGGTCCAATAATTCAACAATGACCTTTATTTTGTCAACATATCCCACATTAGAAACACAAGTAATAATAATATGCTATGTAAATGAGTTCACAATCAACTCCTCATAAGTGTGCTCACTCCCAATAGTGTCACCAAGATGCGAGCCCCACTACAGCCCAGAGGATGTCCTAAGGATACGGCACCAACATGTGCATTTAACCTTTTCTAGAAGTAATAAGATCAAAAAGATCTTCAAGTTAAAAATCACCACAAAAAGTGAAAAAAAAACAGTTTAATTGATCTGACAGATCAAATGAGATGGAAGCAGCAAACAGCACAACTTACGGGGTCAATATTAAGCAGCCTCTGGTTAGCAAGAGATACAACCTGCAAAAGGTTTATATTAGAAAGATTACCATTTAACTGTTTAAAGAGAATTCAGAGTATAGACTCTCACAGAGAAAGCTTCATTTATTTCATAGAAATCAATATCGGATGCTTTCAAGCCAGCATTAGCGATCGCCTTTGGTATGGCGATGGCTGGAGCAGTTGTGAACAGTTCAGGTGTCTGCCAAACAATTAATAGGATCCGTAACACTAATCTCTCAAAATGCAGGCAAAACTTACTTAGAATAGAACAAACAATAGTTGATTCTAAATAGGTCGGTGATACTCGTAACCCCAGCCGAGGTTAGTAATATACGCAACAGAAAATGTATAGTAAATGAAACTAAAAATTAGCATGCCACCTGTGCTGCGTCTGCATAGCCTTTGATCCTGGCAATAACATTCAGTCCAAGCTTAATTGCCATAGCTCCACTAACGAGAATTAAAGCAGCAGCCCCAGCACTACCTACAATAAGAACTCTTAGTCGAATAATTCCCATTTCAAGTGTTGATAGCCTATTCTGTCAAATAAGTGGGGCCAGTAGCATTTTTTCTCCTAACATTTTCGACAAACATAGTACAGACAAATGAGAACAGATGACAAATGACCTGATAGACCACAATTCCATTCTAAAAGCAGATACAAACTCAAGCTCAAATGAAATATTTCTTAGTCACTCGGCTATGTCATATCTGAAAAGAACTCATTCAACCAGCCACACTAATATAAGAAAGTGGGGAATCAAAACAACGTCACAAGTCAACTTCATCTATATACTCAATGAGTAGTCTGTCAAATGTCGTGCCCAGAACACACACACACACATATATACATATGGTGTATGTGTTAATTATAATTTGAGCAAATAGAAACAAATAATAAGTGAATTCACTGAACCTTATACTAGAAGCATTCCCTGCAGTTACAGAACCTCCATTTTCTTTTGAAACTTGGCCTGAGCTTTCTCAACTTTGATGCATCAAACTAGAAACAACAAGTACAATGTAAGTGTTATGAGACAGGACAGGAATTTCTGATACCACAGGAGAATAAAATGTTTCCCCATCTCCACAGGCATGCTTTTATTCATGAAGACTGTAAGAAATTAAAAAACCAGGGAGAAAATCAACACACTTCTCAAATAAAAGCACCACAGCGACTAAAAATAAGAGAGAAAGGAGCATTTCTCTTTCCAGTTCCCACCTCATATACTTAATTTCATAAAGGAAGTACACACAGTTAACGACAACAGTCCTATATACTCACATATAGGTTTTAAAGCATGAATAAATCGTAACAAGAATGAACAATAATTTTTTTTCACACAGACTTGAGGTGCATAACAGCGAATATACCTCTGGAACATGGACGAAAACCACCCTTTCTTCTTCCCATCTGGCCCACCATCCTTTCCCATCTCCTCCTCAGACTCGCTATCACTGCTAACAATATCCTCTTTATCCATCATACTCTCCTACATTTTCCACCAATCCACACATTCTGCTCCACATCCTCACCAGCCCCATCTGTGTAATCCAGCTTCGTCTCCTTAGGCGAATCATCCCAAACCCTATTTTTTTCGCCACCTTCTTCAGCTCCACCTTAGGGACCTTTCCAACTATGGCCTCCGTCTTTTTCCCGCCTTTCGACCTCTTCTGCAGTTTGCTCACATCAAAAGCCCCGTTATTCGAGGCACCATTCTCCTCCTTCCCGTTCGAGCTAATCACTTTGTTACTAATATTCTTCCTAAGGCTACCATTTTCTAACGGACGATCTAAAGCATCATCACCATCTTTACCAGACTTATTCCCGTTCTTTTTTTATTCCCTCCATTGAACATTCCATTCGCCACCCGATCCTGTTTTCTTCCAGGATTATTATTGTTGTTCGAGGGTTTGACCACCTGTTTAGACTTCTTCATATCCTCTGCACGGGCCTCGGCTTCTTTCTTCAGCTGCTGGAAAATATCGTCAAAATCGGGGTACGAGGTCCGTTTGGGGTCGTCAATCTCGGAGAACTCTTTTTTCACCACAGCAAGAAGGTCATCCACGTAGAGGAGGTGGAGGATCCGCTGGTACACGGCAACAAACACGAGGCCTAGCTCATTGTGGAAGGTCCACTTGAGAGTGTACGAAGCCCCAGGGGCATCATAGTTGTATGAGGCTGCGCCAGAACGCTCCTCGAGAAGGCAGGAGCGAATGAGGGTGTCCATGGGTAAGCCCCTGAGTGCATTTCCGAGCTCCTTGCACGTCCAGAGGATTAGGCCCCCTCGTGTGACGATGAGTAGTTGCTCCAACATCTTGGGAACTCGAGTGGGTAATAACTACCTTTGAAAAATTGAACAGAAAAGAAATATGGATGTTTTCATAAGACCCAATTTATAATAGAAGAATCCGAAACAAAAATTGAATTTTCTTTCTTTTTTTTTGGCCTTGGCGGAAGATATAATCGGGAAATACGCATGAATCCAGGTCAAAATACGATTAGAAACACAAATAAAGCATCTCATAACTGCAGATGGAAATTACCACTAGCAAAATCAAATACAAGGTTAGGATTTCTCATGATCGTCAAAGCTGAATCATAGAGGACGACATAAGTTTCTTTCGTTTTCAATTCGGGTCAACAACCACACATACATAAATACACGATTAACGATCCTAATGGAAAAAGGTCCTTCACAGCTATTTCACTAGGATCCATGATTACAGATAGAACCAAAATTCTCCTTTAAAAGAAAAAAATACACCAAATTCCAATAGGAAAAACGACATTAAAGCTGCAAAAAACAGAAAATACAAAAAATTGCTCTTACAGAGACAAATTTGACTTGGTAGGCTCAAACTCTTTTCCAAATTGAAACAGCAATGACTTGGTAAGCTGAATAACAAGTTATAAATAAAATAAAATAAAATAAAATAAAAAAAAAAAACCTAATTCGAACATGAAGGGACTCTTAATTCGAAACAGAAAAAAAAACCATAATTACTACCAAAAGGGAGGTCGTCAAAGCTACCTGATTTCAGATTCCGGCGAGATCGTTCGGTCGTTCGGACGGCTTTCGGTCGAGAGTCGTGAAGGGGCGCGTTGATTTCAGATTCCGGCGAGGTCGTTCCGTTGTTCGGACGGCGTTCGGTCGAGATCGTGAGATTGTGAAGGGCGGCGTTCGAACGGGATGAATTTTTTGAAGATGAATTTTTTGACGGTGGTCGTGAGGTAGTGAGGTTTCAGAGCCAGAGCGAGAGCGGGGGAATGTGAATTTTTTGAAGATGAATATAAGGGGTGTATTCAATTTTAACTTTTAGAGACTTTTTAAGACTCTTAGAATTTTGGTGTATTCAATCAGAACTTTTAGAGACTTCTGAAAAGTTTACATATATTCAATTGAGACTTTTGAAGACTTTTAAAAAGTCCTTAAAAGTCTCAGGGTATTCAATTAAACCTTTTTGAGAGTCTTTATAAGTCACCCGATATTCAAAATATGAAGACTTTGTGAGACTTTTTAAATTGTGAGACTTTTACAGACTTTTTTAACAAAATTACAAAGAGAAAGTCCCAACAGAAATCTCATCAATATTGGTGAGATTTTGTTGGACTTATGTGACTCTCTTCACGCTTTCTTTCTTTATTTCTTTCTAACACGACTTTGTATCTCATATCACTTTCATGTTTTATTATTTTACTATTTCATTTTGATACCTTGTATAATTTTTATTTCATTACGTATATTTAACGTAATCTTTATTTTATATATTTTTTTTTATTATGGTTATTTTATGTATGTATACCTTTAATCTTTCATTTTGTTATCTTGTGAATTTGATTTTTCAAAGGTTAAATGCTTCCATAGTTTGCACTTGCAAATAATTTATTTGTCCTCTCTTTTTATTTATCAATGTTTATGTTTTAATATTAATAAAATTATTTTATTTTCTAATAGTTTATTTGTTGATATTGAATTATTTTGAATATTATTGATAACTTTATAAAATACAATTACTGTTTTTCAACAATGTTTGTATCTTCCATAGTTCGACTAATTGAAGCTCGGATTGATTTGATCGTTTAATAAATCTAAAATCCTAAATAATATGTTACTGAATAACTCATTTCGCATAACAATGAGTTGATTCATAAATTTTTAGAGAATTAATATATAAAATATTTTTTTTGATTTATTCTTCTTGATATTAGTTATTATGTTACGTTTATTAATTTTTCATTCTAACATATATAAAAGTCTCAATAAATTTTAAAAAGTCCAATATGAAAGTATTAAAAAGTCACTAATGAGAATTCTCTGAAAGTCTCAACAAGTCCACCAAAGTCCTGAAAGTTTTACAAAGTCCACAAAAGTCACCAAATTTAAAAAGTTTTAAAAAGTCCTTAAGAATCTCAATTGAATACAAGCCCCTGAATTTTGATTGTGAAATAAATTGAATTGGGGAAAAAATAAGCAAAAATTGAGTTAGGGGTAATGTAGTAAAAACATATGTCAAAATGGCTAAAAAAGATGTTTTTTACAAAAGGTGGCCAAAATTTGTGTTTTGTAAACTTTTATGGCTATTTAATGGGATTATTCAGAGCGGCCGTTTTTTAGCACTTTTTTTAAGACAAAATGAAATCTAGCCATGTTTTTAGAAAAGATGAAATCTAGCCATTTTAAGGGTTAAAAGTACTATTATACCCTTATTAATGTTTACCTACCAAAAATTAAAAAATAAAAAGAAAATAAAGAGGCAAAAAGAGTGAGCAGATGTAGATCGTAGAAATTGCTGCTGGCCTTCCTCTTCCTCCATTGTTGGGTTCCTGTGCGCAGCGCTTCAAAAAAAAAATTACTCATCTTCCCAAATTTCACTTAAGTGAATCATCTCGACTAAAAATCATCTCCAACACCACCAAGTGAATCCCTTTTTGAGAAGAAATAAGGTACATTGACCTAAACCTGATTTTGTTTTTTTATTATGTTAAATAATTTTTTTTTAAAACATTTATTATTTTTGTTCCCAAAATTATTAATTTGTCTTGCACTTGCACCATTTCATTTTGTTGAAGTAATATTTTTTTAGAGTTAAAAAATTCGTGTTTTTGTGCTTGAAAAAGAGGGGTTGTGTTTTGGAGTTCATTACTTTTGTTGTACACTTTCTTGAGCCGTTTTTGGAGTTTTAGAAGTTGAAGTAATCGTTTGTTGAAAAATGTCAATTTATTGAACAAATTCTTGAACAAGAAAGGACAAGAAACAATTTCTTCTTGTTCCACATGCAGTTTCTTGAGCAAAAAAACCTGTTTGAACCTGTTTGATGCTCAAGAAACAGGTTTCTTGCTCACGAAACGAGTTTCTTGAGTTAGAAACAGGTTTCTTGAGCAAGATACAGGTTTCTTGAGCAGAAATAGGTTTCTTCAGGTTTCTTGAACAAGAAGAAAATGTTTATTGAAGAATAAATTTCTTCTTGTTCAAGAAACTGTGTCTTGTATTCATATATGTTTTTCCAAACACATTTGAAGGTAAAAAAAGTTGAAGAAAGTATTTGTACTAAGATTGTGTTTTTTATTTATTTATTTTTTTTTTCAGATGGACGCTGGTAAAGTGCGAATTGCTCACAGTGGCTTTTGAGATGAGAATGTCTACAAAAATGGTGAGACAGAGATGAATTTTTTCTGTCTTAGGACCTCATTATATGAAACTTTCATAAATAGAGTTCATGACATTGTTCGTGGAGATAGAAACATGTGCGACTACCAATTTCACTTTTTAGTGGCTGCTGATAACGAAGAGGTGGAGAAATGGCGTATCTCTTGTGAAGCAGATCTGCGAAATGTGTCTGCCATGTTCACAATACCTACTATCTATGTTACACTACAACCGAAAGATAGTCCAGGTCTGTATAATAAAGGGAGTGTACCAACGTACCCTTCGTATGGCTATACCGGGGACAAGGTGGGTTTATGAATTTAGTTGCTGCTCAGGGCCCACCTCTCTATCCATATGGTGTTGTGTATCCACCTATAATGAACTTACACAGTCAACCATCAACATCTCATCCGGCGAACAATTACAACCCGGTGCCCGACACCACCAGAATGATGGAATCAAATCAACCCGGTGCCTCACGTCAATCTCCCGAACATGTCGATTGGGGTGTGGATAGCGGGTTCAATGGGGATTCAACTGAGAATGATGAAGGTGATGATGACGAGCAATATTGTGATGCTTACAATAATGAGATGAACATCAACGATAATCCTTGCAATGACGGTTTCCTCAATGAGATGGATGATAGCAATGACGATTCGGATTTCATTATTGAAGAAGATGATATGCTTGTCTCGGAAGAAGGTGAAGATGGCAACGACAATGTTGTGTCCCCTTCAAACATGATGGGTGGTTTAAATGAGCATATTCTACGCAACAAGAAGAGTATAGCGATCAACAATGTTTCTCGACTTAACCTTTCTGGAGGTGTTGCTATTGAAGAGGACGATTTGATTGAAACGGGTACTCGTTCGAGTAGCGGTTGGAGGATTCCCGAAGCCATTTTTCACAATGTTGATGTTCATCCCTCGTCTGAAGAGCCGTCAATGATAGTCCCGGAATTAGCCAAAGGCGTTTTCACTGAAAGTAATGATGAATTGTTGGTAAAAGTGGGTTTATACCATTTGAAGCATAAAGTGGAGTTCCAAACGCCAAGATCTTCAAAGTCTCGGTTAAAGTTTGTGTGCAAGCATAAGAACTACCCATGCTTGCTTTCTGCGAATGCACTGACTGGAAGTAGTTAAAAAATTTCAAAATTTATCCATCCACATACATGCTTGGTTAACCTGAGTCATTCAGCCCCTCGACAATTGCCTGCAAAGATCATTGGAGCATTATTCGCGCCGAAGTTGTTGACAGAGGGCCGAGTATTGAAGCCTGCAGAAATTATGGGTGACATGGAGCGTTATCATGGCATTAATCTCAAATACGATACAGCTCTGAGGTCTCAAAATGCCGCCTACGACTTCATTTATGGAGATCACAGGAAATCCTGGGAACTTTTGCCGGGCTATTTCTATATGTCGATGAAGGAAAATCCTGGAACATCGGCATACATTGAGACCGATAAAGATGACGTGTTTGAGTATGCTTTCATTTCCTTGCATGCGTCTGCAGGCTTCCTCAATTATTGTCGGCCCGTGATTGTAATTGACGGTACGCATTTGAAGGGTAAGTATAAAGGCATCCTATTTGTAGCAGCTACAAAGGGCGGAAATGAACAAATTTTTCCTTTGGCATTTGGTATCGGCGATGTGGAATGTCATAGTGCGTGGATGTGGTTTCTCCAAAAGCTTCGCTCCACTTTTGGATGTCCAAAGAATTTAGTGATTGTTTTTTATCGCCACGTGAGCATAAAGTCTGCTATCGAGGTTGTCTACCCTGAAGCCGTACATGCTATATGTTCATACCACCTTCGGCAAAATATTCGAAGTAACGGGTGTAAAGCCGTTGGTTTATATATGAAAGCTTCATACACTTATTCTCCTGTTGTGTACGAAAAGTCGATGGCTATGCTTGCGGCAAAATATCCAAAAGCATTGAAGGTTTTGATTGATGAAGCCATTCCAACTAGGTGGGCACGAAGTCAATGTCCGGCGAGACGATATAGTTTCATGACGTCAAATGCTTGTGAGGTGTTGAACAATATGTTGCGTTGGGCAAGGAAATT